ATTGACAGAAAGGACGTAAATTGTTAATGCAGGTTGAGTGAGACAGTTTTATGGCGGTGAATGTGGGTGGGACAGCACAGACTGTGACGATATGTTACGTTCGGTATTATGCACTGACAGGCCTGTAACCAAATCAGCCAGTGCGTGGATTCTGACACTGGAGGTTGGTGAATGATGAGGGGGGAGGGGGGGAGATTGCAGCTTCCTGCAATAAACTATTTTGTTTGCCTCTAAAATAAAAAAAAAGTCACGATGTTCGTTTCTATATAAAAAAAATAAGTTCACATTATGCTCCACAATTACTTAACATGCATCCCCCCCTCTTCCCTTTCCTTGACATATAACTTTTGTCATCTGGCCACATGGCCGGCCTGCTCTAGACCAAAACACGGTAGGACCAACACCTCGGCCGTGGCAGATCACTGTTATAATTCAGTAGGCTCACATGACATTGACTTCTCCAAGACAGAGGTTCTTTGCAAGCCATCTGGCTACCATGAGAGATTTGTGCATGAGGCTATCCACATATACAAACACAGAGACAATTTCAACCGAGAAGATGGATTCTGGCTTAGCAATCATTGGAATGATTTGATAAACCATTTCGGGTCTTAATTGATTGTTCACTCTTACGGTGGCTTTCAGACCGCATCCATTATTTTCGTCTTCCCCCTCCTCTTTTCCGAACATAGATGGACTCGTCCATTTGAATAACTGTCAAATCGCTCTCCGTGGTGCTAACGTGAAAAAAAACCCGCCACTTTTTTCAAATTTTCTTGCTGTGGTTTTCACACCTGATGATGATTGCATGTGTTGCAGTCGAAACGTCGTGAGAATTTTATTGTTTTATATTTTTATTCTTTTATTGTTTCCCTTCTACGTGACTTTACCGAAAGAACCAAGAATATGAATCCCTGCAGTCACGAAAGCTTTAAATCAAAATTTTAATCAAAATATCATGATTAATCCACTGCTTAATGCAAGCCTCTCCCTGAGTCGCCATCTCTCCACAGTGGACATCCGCCCAGTCGCGAAAGCCCACGTGTTAAACTGGTCCTCCTGGGATCGCGTTACCTCCTCTCCCGCACCGTCGTTAGTCTCGACCGGCCCGCCCGTCGTCACCTTGTGTGCCAACATGTCCTGGCCCAAGCCCACTTACTTTTCTTGACGGTCAATAATTATTTCTGGAACTTTTGCAAGTGGTCCCCTAATCCATGCGTTTTCCCATCCCTGTGCCTCAAAGGGTGCGTCTCTTCGCCCTTCTTTGCGTGCCTTTCAGCGTTTTCCTCCACTTTCGTTGTCAATGTCCATATGTTTTCGATCCATTTGTTATATAGCCAGTAATTTACACAGTACACGTATATATAAGTATATCATAATGAGCGTTAGTTTGCACTGTCGCCGTATGAGCAGGGGCGCAGCCAGGATTTTGACTGGGGGGGGGGGGGGGGGCGGCTGACTTCAATATTCTGAGATATCCAGTGTTTGTTTTCCAATGGGCGCCACAAATGTATAAAATAAATGTTATTGGATTTGAACGCGGAGTTTATTAATTGGTCGGAGCCGCTGATGTGGCTAATAAGTTCGAAAGGTTGCCGCTCAAGCAGCCTGCAGGGCAGCACGAGGTGGCAGCCTGCAGGGCAGCACGAGGTAGCAGCCTGCAGGGCAGCACAAGGTGACAGCCTGCAGGGCAGCACGAGGTAGCAGCCTGCAGGGCAGCACACAAGGTGGCAGCCTGCAGGGCAGCACACAAGGTGGCAGCCTGCAGGGCAGCACGAGGTAGCAGCCTGCAGGGCAGCACAAGGTGGCAGCCTGCAGGGCAGCACAAGGGGGCAGCCTGCAGGGCAGCACACAAGGTGGCAGCCTGCAGGGCAGCACACAAGGTGGCAGCCTGCAGGGCAGCACGAGGTAGCAGCCTGCAGGGCAGCACAAGGTGGCAGCCTGCAGGGCAGCACAAGGGGGCAGCCTGCAGGGCAGCACAAGGTGGCAGCCTGCAGCATTTTGCAGCAGCCGGATATCCGGTTATCCCGATTACCGACTTTCTCAAAATTTCAGGGGGGGCTAAACCCCCCCCCAGCCCCCCCTGTGGTTCCGCCCCTGCGTATGAGCAATGCTGAGCTGCTGTCTTGGGTTCTTCCTCCAAAGCGCGCAGCAGTTACTCGGGTAGGAGCATCAGCGGATGTTTTTTTCATGACGTGCGTAGGGAAATAGCGCTTTGTTTTGGAGGCTGATGCCCGTCGACAGTGGCTTGGCGTATACTGCATTTTACATCTGACAAATTTCATGATTGTGTTGCCCTGAAACCCTGTTCCAGTCCTTGCTGACACGCAGTGTATATATGTGCAATAATGCACTGTAACGTTATTGCTGCTTCGATGATTGCATCTTTGTTCACGAACCCACACTGACCAGCGTGGCGAAGTATAGTCAAACAACACCCACGATCAACAGGGCGTGGGAAGCCCTTTGTTCAGCATCGGATTGACAAGGGGCCGTACGTTATTCAGCTATGGTGAATTGTTAAAGCAGGTCAAGTATGGAACTGGAAAAAAAACATTACAATGCCAGTATCAAATAGCCAAATGACTCCTAATGCTAAGCTGGATTTGAGTGACTACCATACATAACAGTTTGTTATTGGTTGCTGCGGAACTCTTATGCTGTGGGAAGGAGAAAGCAGTGGAGAAAAATCCGGTTTTGTGCTGTGCTTCCACGCTTTCCCATCTGTGCTCTGTGCAAATCAGCACCCCGACTGACCAGCGCAGAGAATTATAGTCAACTGCATGGCATGGAGGCCTTCATCCAGCAGTGTATCAATAAAAATGCATTTGCTTTTTTTTCAGAACGTGTTTGTGTGTATAGTCAAGGGTTTACTTCATTATAAAAGCAATGTAATCATTGCCCATGCTTCATCCTAGCCCACATAGATTTCAGCTGAATACAATATAGTTTGTTGAAATTGTGATTGGATGTTTCTCCACAGAGCGAGACATTGTATAATTCTGAGAATGCTGAGCTAATACCGGAGACTTCATAATAGAAGTAATCAATATAATCGATAACAAATCTTGTGCCAATCCATTGTTGGTTGATGACCTCTCCACACCATATAATTTGTGGGTGTTTTCTTTACTCTACTTCACCACATTTAGAGAGGCCTTCATCATTCAGCAGTGGATAGACCGTGGCTGATGATAATAATGATGGAGGCACCCGAATCGGATTATCTCCTAAATAGCAATCCTTTCACATTGTAAGGTTGAATGCCCCCCGGAAGGCTTTAAACAATAAACTATCCTCTGAATTTCTATGAAAGTAATACAATTACCGCAGTGGGTTTATTACAACTTACCCACAATAAGAAAAGTGTCAATATTTTAAGTTTGGATTTAGGAGGCATGTTCATTCACTGAATGTTAAATCGCAATTACCATCACCTCCTGCCACTGTGCCACCCTCCGCAAATATCACGTGTTCTTGTACTGCTAAAAAAACTGAACCAAAACAAAATTCAAAGAAAGCAGCCTGGCCTTTTCAAAAAAATAAAGCATCCATTGCCCACCGGAAAGAATTAGCAGTAGTGGCGGCATTAGTTTGGGAGAAAGCAATTTAAATTCATAATGCATTTTAATTATGCAATACAAAATTGTCCGTATGAGTGCCGATAGTATGACAAGAAAAATTTAGCATTTGTGGAAATTCTTCATGCAGCGGTGCGGGTGAGAAAGAGGAAAACGATTGCAGGATGCAAGTGCTCGGGTGAATGTGAATTACTTTTCTCCTTTTTTTCAGAAGCACTGCAAATGGACAATTTAATTTCGAATCCAAACGAAGGGGGTGCGTAAAAAGAAAACACGCAAGCCGCGGTCGTGTCCAAGTAGCCCGCGCCTGTGTCCGAATCGTCAAGGAGTGCACTCGATCTCTCAGATCTTGTCGCAAAGGTTCACGGTTCGAATGCAGCGGTTGCCCTGGTTGACGCTGCAATGTGTTTTAACAGTTGAAAAATAGGCGGCGTCCGCTTCGCGGGCAAAGTTGAATGGTCTCCTCTGATGTCAAAAACAAGAGTAGGCCGTTGTGTGTGCAAGCTTCGTGGTCCAAATTGGCCAAGTGCAAAAGATCACCTTCAAGTTATTCGATTGGAATCTACACGGCAGTCATCGCCCCCCCCCCACTACTGTGAAAGCGTGGCAGGACTTTTCTGGAAAGGAGTCTTGAGACTCAGTGAGGTTTTCCTGAGTAAACAAGCAAAGTAAATTATTAGTAATGAGGTCGTGCAAAGCTCAGCAGGCATTTTTGAACCTGGATAGCATTTGGATGGCCATCCACCACCGTGCATAAATCAGGCCTTGGCTCGTGTGTGATTGCGTTGTGGGCAGCAGCAGAGGGGGACCTTGACTTATAGCTTTCGTGACTGCAGGAATTAATAACAATAATAAATATTTTTTTATTTTATTTTTATTTTTTATTATTTGATCTATCTATGTGGCTTTACCGAAAGACCAAAAGAATATACAGAGGGGGACCGTGCAGCAAAATCCATTGGTGTATCGCACTGAGCCCCCATATCTACTCTAACTACCTTTATCAACCTGCACTGACCAGTGTGGTGATGTACGGTCAAATAACTCCAATGACCAACGGCGTGTGGCGAGGCCTTCGTCTCGCAGTAGATTGACATAGGAATATAAATTAGGAGCTTAAAAGTGCATTGGTGATTCAGCACGTGAGAATAATGAGAAACGTGTTCGCAAGTAACCCCACGAGAATGCAGCAATTGCTGCATTCTCAGGTGCAAAATTTTCAAACTGCAGTCAGACGGAGCGAATGTTTGATTTTGGAAAACGCCGTCCTTCACATGATGTGGCCCCTCCTTCAAATGTACCAAAGTGTGGTCTGTTGCATACAATCGTGCCATCCAGGGCGGTTGGCGCGGGTGATGGAAAGGGAGCGAGAGAGAGAGACGATGTATTCTCACTGACCGTCTGTTTTCTCGTTGCCAGGATCTGGAATGCCGTGACGGATAATTTTGGAAACGTGATGCCGGTGGACTGGAGCTCATCTCACGCACGGACCCTGCAGATCCCAACACTCAACATGAAGGAGCGCTTCGTATGTCCCCCACCAGCGTGATTTTTTACCCCCACACAAAGACAAAGGTCCCCCGTTTAGCCTGAACAGCAGGAGAATGAAAATAGCAGGGAAATGTTGAAGAGCAGCATTTCTCAAGTTTTGTGGGTCAGGACGCCGATGGATGTACTATTGTCACTCGAGCGTATCATGACTGGGGCTAATAACAAATAAATATGACAACACGTTTAATCGTGCACATACAATAACATTTGTGCCGTCTGTTGTCAAAGTTACTTGTGCTCAAATCTCTTTGAGTCTCAAGGCTACGGCATCTGTAGCTCATTGCCATCGCCCCCACCCCCATCTCACGGTGAACTCAGTCCACGAGCCTAGACCAGATATTTAAATTATAGGAACCACATGAGGTGGCACAACTTTACTGCTTCCAATTTCTTTATGTGGCCGATAATGGTAAATTTTGTGATAACGACTTGAAACGAGTGGGTCGTCAAATAATTCCCTCTCATTGGCCATATCAATTAATTTCTACTATTAACGTTTTTCTACATCAAGTCCTACCAATTTCAGCTCTGGCTCATGGACTAATGCCACAACGCAGTCAGTCAACAGCACGGCGACCAGTCGGAGAGTTGTTCAGCCACAGCAAAATAAAATAAAACCGGATCTACGTTTGGAAAAGTTTTAGAAGCGCTGGTCCGGGGAGCAATCGCTTCGACCTCTCGATCTGAAGGTCGCTGGCGGTGACGTCTCCTAAAAACGCGGACCTCCCACGCTGCCGCCTTAGCAGTCGGCGGCCGCGGGCAAGTCCTGTCCCTCCAGCGGACACAACGTACGCCGCTATTCCGTCCGCTCGAACCCGGACGATAAAGGCCACGCGGCGAGAGCACTACAAGAGAGCTGTTGTGCGTGGGTCCCTGTCACGGCCATAGAATGGCACGCGAGATAGATATGTCTAAGCCACCGTGACCCTTATGTTGTACGAACTCTCCGTATAGCTCTCCGACACGTGTTTGGGTGGTTACCGCGTGTTGTTCGGCACAGAGTCCGACGTTTCGCTCGACGTGCTGGGAGCCTCATTGCTAAGTAGGTTATATGTCTTCGTTTCTCTCTTGATCACAACTGGACACACGTCGGAGGGCTGTACAGCACAACCACAAAACCGTTACGCGGTAGCACACAACGCTCTGCGTTGCTCTCTACACGGCTGTGCTTGATGGATCGTTTAGGACAAAAATCCGTGCGTTTTGAGGGTTGAGCGGTGGTGCAATGGTTGGGACACTTTGCTATGAAGCCAATGGTCTGGTTTTCATTCCCCAACCTTGGCCAACATAAGTGGCGTTTGATATCGGTGAAGTATGGTAAAGCGACTCGCATGACCGACACGGAGAGGGGAAGCCTTCGAGTGGTAGGATTAATTTTTGGGATTTAAGTTATTTGTATTCATCGCCACCCTACCGCCGATCACATGCATGTACTCTTCACTGTGTGGCTCTTTTAAAGAAGTAAGATGAACAAATACTTTCGAGGCTGCCGTGGTAGTCGGGCTGAGGAATCCTCAGTACGTCTTGAGAGGCAGGTCCCTGTGTTGGAAACAAAACAATTATTTTAATTTATTTTAGTCTTGTCCTCGCTTAGACATGAAGAGACATGACATTAAAGAATGTGGTAATTATACAAAAATATTTAGCGAATTGCGCTGCAAGACTGCAGTGTTAAATTAGATTCTGTGAAAGGAACAATATAATGCTAATGCAATCTTCTTCTTTGGGTCTTTCGGTAAAGTCACGTAGAATGAGAATAAAATAATAAATTGATAAAATAAAATAACACAATAAAATTCTTCATTCTTCATCAGGTGAAGGGACGAGACAGTCTCGTCCCTTCACCTGATGAAGGCCGCTTGTGTTGTGGCCGAAACGTCGTGAGAATTTTATTGTGTTATTTTATTTTATCAATTTATTCTCATTCTACGTGACTTTACCGAAAGAACCAAAAAAGATGAATCCTTGCAGTCACGAAAGCTTTAAATCGAAATTTAATACAATCTTTTCAAAATGTGCACTTGATGTTTTGATTAACGTAAGCCTTTCTTTGTGAAAAGGGGGTCGCTCCGTGACTATTGTGCCGCGTACAATGGACTTTTAGAACAATACTTGAATCAACATTTTTCAAAGCCACACGGAGTAATATCGCTAATTTTCTCCATAGTCAAATTTTGTTCCGTATCTTAACGAACAAACACGTTCATAATAAAGCGTACGGCGTTACCTTCACATGACTTGCTTAGTCATTGTGTGGTCATTGAAAAGCTTTGTCAGTTTTCTTATTTAGGGCACTGCAATGTAAAGGTGCCGAAGTAAATAACTAAAACGGCCTCTCCATTTAAGGAAGAATGTCTTATTATTATAACGAGTGAATAATTAGTGCATTTTGTATTCACCCCATTCATATGACGCAAGGCTATCCTGTAGCCACTGTTTCACAGTATAGTCTGCCTGGAGTGTGTAATGTTGCCGTGTGGTTTTTATCTAATTTGCAAATTAGGTCATTTCCATGCGATTTTCAAATTTGGCAAATTTGAACCGCAACGCTGGCACACGTGGCCTACTCTTATTCCGCAAACCCTCCCGCAAAAAATAAAAATGGCAAACGCGCGACCGCCCGGCCGTGTGTGACCGCCACACAAACTCCGTGCGCTTTAACGAGCGCTTCGGTGCCGTGGAATGTGTGTGCACGCGTGCGTGCGTGCGTGCGTGCGCCGGGTCAGCCGCGTTTCCATCCCACGCGTGCGCACGCACCATGGTCTCCCAACCAGACGGACTCCTCGTTGGGACGCGAGCTTCCATGCGCGTTGTCACTTGTCACGCTCGGTCAGCGTCACGCGCTCGCCCGTTGTTCGTTTGCATTAGGGGCGTGAGGGCGCGTGTGGTGGGCTCCAGAGCCCGAGTGCCCCATCTCGCGTACCGCCGATTGGCACCACCCCCACCTGCCTCTTGCGCCAACGACCGCCTTATAATCGGCGCTCGCCGACGGCACTTGCCGCGGCAATCTGCACGGCGTCGCAGCTCTCTCTAACGCCGGTGGACACTTGTGAATAGTCCACGGTGCAACTGCGATCGCCGGTCTCAATTCGCGGACCACGGTACGCCATGCTGCCCGTTTCGATCGTTCACCGGCAGCGTTCATGATATTCACCAGGGTACTCCTGAAGCCGTCCGCTGGCCCACCGACCCCCGACATGGCCAACTCGACGCCTACAAAACATTGCTGATCAACTCCCCCACCATACGAAAGATGAAGTACAATCATTGGGAGGAGAACTTGATTGTTTGCATGTGTTTGTTTTAAAACGTACCAATTTTTTTACGTCAAAGCAGTAGAACAGTTGGGTGAAGCCTACTTGGAACATCAACATGAGAGGTGATGAATCCTTACTAAGGACCAAGTTGGACTTTCAAGTACCTTTGTCATACATTAACACACAGAAACCTCAGTTGCTCAGTTACTTATGTCCTCTGAAGAAGCAGTGGCAGGAGTGACAGCTGGAATTTTACACATAGTGTTGCCAAGTCGAAAATATTCCTCCCGAGTACCCGATTAGTGCGGCTAAGATGCTGCTTGCAGTGACGGATTTAATATTGTTTCTAAGTGGTGGGCCTCACGTGGCCACGGACAATATGATTATCATGCCGTGGGCCATGTCAGGCACTTCAATGCCGTACCTGCATGCGGGAACCAAGTGTCACAGGCACTCCCAATTAGCACGGTCAGCTACGTACGGTGCCAAAGAAGTACGTACGTACGGGGAGACTTTCCTGGGTGTTTTTAAAACGAAATCCGATTGATTGTGTCACGTGCATTGTGTTAGCTGCGACCGTGTTGAGTCTATAGCAGTGGGCAGCAGACTATCTCCAGCTCGCGTTTAATGTCATTGGAATATTGTTTGATTTTGGACTTCGTAGGTCGCCATAAATACAACCGAGTGTCGCGTTGTGTTAAGGCTGCACCCCAACCTGGCGTCACCTTCTTCCTGGATGTCGGCAACCAAAAATCGCTCCACCCTCTCCCGCTCTCTCTTCCTCTCCCGCGTCCCCCTCCTCATATTTGGCACGGGCGCTTTTAACCGTAATCACACCGACGTGCGGAGCGCTCCCGGCAACGCCGCCGGGTGCCGGCGACGTTGACTCGAGAACCGCGCTCGTGCGCTAGGTAGCGCGTGCGCGGACGAGCTCGCCGTGCCGGCGAACCGGTCGTTACGGGCACTCGCGCTTGGGCGGGTGCCACGCCGCTGCCGGCGAAGGGGACTACCCAACGATAGTCTCATCCCGCGCAGCCATAATCCCCTAGCGAGACGCATCGCGGTGACGACGGCAACGTTCCTGTTTGCATTTTTTTTTACTTCGCCCATTTTACGGCCAACGCGTGGCGATGAGTAGTAGTGGCGCCAGTCTGCCCCCGTGACGCCCACCTCGTAGAATATCGGCGGAGAGCCCTGGGAATATCCGCGGAAATAACTAGCAGCTATCGAATTAATGACATCATTGTTTTTTGCCGTTTGGAAGCCCGCTGCTATGCACGCCATCATATTCCATCCGCCGGCCGCGAGGACGTGCGTTTGGGACGAGAGGGCTTGGCGAACTTGAGCGCTGCTGGTACGGTTGAGGTACGAGAGATTAAAAGTGGAGACAAATTTTTACTTAATCTGGACGGCATTTTTGATTTGCCGAGGTCGAGACGAAGTGCGGTACGTTACGAGAAGCAAGAGATGGGTAGAGACGGAGATTTCAAACTGTGGACCCCCGGGTTGGAAATGACACATGACGAGGAGGATGATGATGATGATGTTTGCTGGAACTCGTATTCGTAGCTCGGCTGTGGCAGTGTTGTCGCAGCACATTTTCCGCAGCACGACCGTGACACGTCTGGAGCCGGGTATGAAAACAATCGATAGTAATGATGTTCATCTAATCAGCAAAACCTTGCCGAGTCTCAAGGCTATTTTTCAGCAGGATCCCGCATTGGGATTCTCAGAGCTACGTTCCAGCTCTCAGAACATAAAATATCGCGAAGACTGTCATACGAGTAACATTCATGCGTGTTAATGCAGAGGGGTGGAAAAGAACTGCTCCCTATTGTGTGGATCAGATATCATTTAAAGGGATCACAGGGGTACCTCTGTGATATCCGCTTCTGTGGACCGTTCTTGTAGCACAAAGGGTTGGACCGCTCTGTGAGAGAGGTCCCAATGGATCTTTGGCGCTCGTAACGACACCAGTAGCACAATCGAGATGAATCTGGGTAAAAGTGACGAGTAATATTCTTGAAATAAAATATAACACCCCGTGTTCAAGATGGCAAGGCCGTGGGTTCAAATGCTCATTGGGATTAGCCCACCTCGTTCCATCGCATTCGTTCCTTCATGGTGGTTGAATAAGAACTTCCAAGTGGGAAAGTAGCAATGGTGATCCCTGAGCGGATCGTTCGCCTTGTGACATGGGGGGGGGGGGCAAGCAAAAAAAAAGTCTCTAAAAATTTAGAAAAAATAATCACGAGGCTGTCTGTACGTGCATGGAATTCTGTCTGTACGTGCGTGGAATTCTGTCTGTACGTGCGTGGAATTCTGTCTGTACGTGCGTGGAATTCTGTCTGTACGTGCGTGGAATTCTGTCTGTACGTGCGTGGAATTCTGTCTGTACGTGCGTGGAATTCTGTCTGTACGTGCGTGGAATTCTGTCTGTACGTGCGTGGAATTCTGTCTGTACGTGCGTGAAATTCGCGCCCGTGTGCACAAAATCCCCCAGCTGCTACAGCTGCATCCCTGGGGGGGGGGGGGGGGGCACCGAACCCCCCCCAACACCCCCCAGTCTCCCCCCCCCCCCCCCACCCCATCGCGCTGCCCCTCCGCCGCTCCCCAAACCAAACTGGCGTGCGTTACCAAGGCAACGGCACTCAGCTGGCTGCCATGGCAACACGCACGCTATTGGCTGTTGGGCTGAGGCGATGGGTGAGGCGACATCCCTGGCTTTGTGAGAATGAATACATGAATGAGAGAATGAAGGAACGGATGAATGAATGAATGGATGTGCGAGAATTGTAACTGCAGCCGTACGAGTAGCAGAGCTCTGGTATCGTCGTCATCTCGATGCGGTCCCTCGGCGTGTTTACGCTGTGATGACATCGTCGTGAGCCCCTGACCCTGGAGTGCTGCGCTATTTAAGCTGGCTCGGATATCACTTAATGTTCCGGCATCAAATAATAATAAATATAATAATGATAAGTTAAAGCCCTTGGTCAATTCACTGCTGGATGAAGGCCTCTCCGTATCAAGAGGTAATGGGGGGTTACTTTACCAAATGTTAACCACGATGGTCAGTGTGGGCTAGTCAAGGATCAGCCCAGGACCGTTTCAGATATCACTCCATACAGGTATCAGCTGTGGCCAGGATTCGAGCTCGGGTTGTTGGTCTCATAGCGCGAACTATTGCGCCTCCGCGCTCCCAAATCTCGCTATCCTGTGTTCTTATACCACTGCCGGAGTATGCATGTACGTTGAACTCCTTTTGCACCGTACATAACCAACCGTGCTAATTTATAAGTGTTTACGGTCGTCGTGAAGTGTTTACGGTCGTCGTACCCCGGTTTACATCGGGGATGCGTTCCTGAAAGGTGCGGCGACGACTATCGAAGCAACTTGCCAGAGTCGTAGCAGTGGGTGGTGGTGGTGGTGGAGGCGAAAGCTGAGGCGACGGGTAGCGAGAAAGGACGGATTATGCCGTCAGCAATGCGAGTGTGTGGGTAATAATGAAGTGACGACGAATTTGCGAAACGACGTGGAAGTGGGAGACGTAAATCGGGGTGTTACTGTTTAACAGTTACAGTAAAACGTTGGATTGCGAGTAACTTGGTCTGCGAGTGTTTTTGCCAGATGAGCAAAAATTTTAAATAAATATTAATTTGATGAACGAGCGAGGGGTCTTGCAATACGAGCAGCACGTAGACGCTTTGTCTGCAGAGCGTCACGTGATCACAACTGATATACGAGTGCTTTGGATTACAAACACGTTTCCGGAACGAATTATGCTCGCAATCCAAGGTTTTACTGTATTTGGCTGCTATAAATATCTACGTGAATAGTCGCTTCGTTGAGCAATCATTTTTAAAAAAACTAGATTGCTCAGTGGGTCTTACCTGGTAAATGCTATTTATATATCATATGGTTCAGTGGGTGAAATGTTACTTAATAGTATGACACTGAGGAGTCTGGCAGGTAGTGATAGGGGATGATATGATTGATAAAGGTGTGATTGAAGCCCATTTCGTCGGCTGAGCGGCAGGCAGTGATTTGCAGATAAGCGCGCGAATACCACAATCGCCGCTTTGCGTACAGGAAGCTTCATTGAACCCGCTCTGAGCTCATTTATAATTAAATCATTTGCCCATCACTGACATTACTTTGATGATTACCCTAATTTCCCTGCACCATTATAGGCACGTACTCGGACTTGCTGTTGAAAACAATGGAGCGGATTGCCAATCAACATGAATAATTAAAACGGGGGTCGTATGTCATTACTTGTCATGCCACTGCTGGATGAAGGCCTCCCTACATCGTGTCAGTTGCGACACTTTTAAATTGACCATACTTCACCGTGCTCGTCTCAGCGCGAGTTGGCGAGGGTGGGTGAGAGGCCCAGGGCCAGTTTTAAAATCACTCGCCACTGGTGTTAGCCGTGGCCAGGAGTCAAACGCGGGTCGTTGGGCTCATTGCGCGGTGTGTACCCGCTGCACCATTCTTCCACCGCAGTTCGCATTACTGGAGTGGAATTTTCCAAGTTAGATTACACAACGATTGGGCCATTTGGACACTACCGCGTGCAGCTTGCGGTTTGTATTTTGAGTATGCTCTTCGTACATTTCGATGTTACTCTTAGCGCTTGCCCGCACATATTTGCACGGTTGGCTACGTACAGTGCGAAAGAAGTTCTACATACAAATGAATGCCACCGATTCAGGTGGCACTGGACTATCACACGTGGAATATAAATCGGTTCCCTTTTGCCCTTGCGGTACATTTAGAACACAATAGGTGCTTTACCGAAAGACTCAAAGAATATAATATGCGCTTTTGAATCTGGAGTAAAAAATATAACATTCTAAATGGTAGCTGGAATTGATTCTCACATGGACTGTTATGAACATACAGGGTCTGTTTGGGTCACCAACCATGTAAGTATTTCCTTACCTGGCACACCATGTCCAGTAAATTTATTGCTATAGCTGTGGCTACTGGTCACGCGACTACTCCAGTCAACCGTCGGCCTGAAAAAAACGTCATTGAGAAATCAAGCACTGGATGCGCGTATGAGGAGCATGAGAATCGATTCGTATGCCGCACGAAGGAGAACGTGGAGATAATGATGATGATGATTGATTGAACTGCGTTGCGTGTGATTGACAGGAGCCCGAGGGCATTACACTCGACCTGTCGGATGATGAGGAACTCCGAGAACAGCTGGACATGCACTCCATTATTGTGTCGTGCATCAACGATGAGCCCATCTTCACCGCCGAACAGGTGGGGGGGACCCTCTCGTGCACGCACTCGCTCACATTCGCACACACAGTGGTCGCCCACGTAGCCTTGAACTTAATGCCATGGGGGGCAAGTGCTGCTAGGGAGCACTTAATCAAGGCCAGCACTGCCTTACAAGGGGTGTGGTGTGGCCAGGTATCACATCCGGGCTGCCCCCTTTTGTCTCCCCGGTGTTGATGTTTACACACCACTCCAGGTACTCGTATTCAGCTAAGTCGTGGGAGAACCAGGATCGGTTCAGATAATCACCACTGCTGTTTGTCGTGGCCGGGGATCAAACTCAGGTCACCGGGTTCGTAGCCAGTGCGCTAACCGCTATGCCGCCACTCCCCACAAACACCAAACGCAAACACCACACGCAGACAGCCACACGTGCCCACATACTCGAGCACATACAAGAACATACCAATTAATGCATATATGCATCCAACACATTCACCGGCAGATGCACACGCGCAAGCACTCACACGCGCCTACATTATGCACGCACCCTCGGGAGGTAGACCTTTGTGTCATTATCCTTTTAAGTAGTCGACACAGGCAAAACAGATGGAGAGGCCCGCTTAACTTCCCCTCTCCTCCGATAGTGCGTTCCATTCACAACGCGATGGGGAGGGGCGACCGGCACTCCTCTAAGGTTAACACAGGAGTAGGGAAACCTTCAACCTGCAGGCCGCATGCGTCCCATGACTTCGCTCGCGTCATACGGCTGGCCCGTGGCCGTATGAGGCCCTCCACTTTGAAATTCCTATTCGGCCCTCGGTAAGGACGAGCTTCCACCACCGCCTGGGCTATGGGATTCACAGAGTGACTTACACAAGGCAGCCACTGCAAGCATCTTAGCCGCTCTAATCGGGTGCTAAAGGGCAATATATCTTCAACATGGCAACGCCATGTGTTACTCTTTGGTTCTATTCGGTAAAGTCACGTAGGTAAAAAATAAAACAAAAAACACGACGTTTCGGCCACAACACAAGTGGCCTTCATCAGGTGAAGGGACCAGACAGTCTGTTTTATTTTTTACCTACGTGACTTTACCGAATAGAACCAAAGAGTATGGATCCTTGCAGTCATGAAAGCTTCAAATCTAGAAACGCCATGTGTTCCTTATCGTATCACGCTCAAATCACTTCTGTCACTGCAAAGGCCTCTCTTGGCAGTGACGTAACGTTCAGGCGCCTGTGCTAATGTGTGTCCCCCGCCAAAGGTATTTTAAAAGTCCCGTTCGGCACCTCGGTAAAGAGGAGCTCCCACCCCCACCGCTGGGTTCGCGCGACGGCGATGGGGACGCTCGCGCGGCCGGTGGTGACGCACGTCTCTCGCGTCCGCAGGTGATCGAGGAAATCGAGGAGATGATGATGATGCAGGAGTCTCCGGACGGCGAGGAGGAGGAGGAGACCCCCACGCAGTCCGACCGCCTTTCTCTGCTCTCGCAGGAGATCAACGCCCTTAAGCGGTCGAGCACCAACAACTCCTGCCAGGACCGTGCGTATTTCCCACGCCCGTGTTTACTGCGTGGTGGTCACCCACACACACCACACGTGTGTCCTCCCCATGCTAAATTCTGCTTAGCTTCTGAGTGTCTCCGAGCGCGCTGCACGGCACCATCGCTGCCATCATCATCGTCAATGTCGTCATCGTCACTGTCATCATCATCACTATCGACATTGTCTACATCACAATCGCTGCCGCGATCACGATCGTCATCGCCAGTTTCATCGTCAAGGCCACCATCGGCACCATCGTCATCTGGATTTTTATATGAGCAAGTTAACTATTGCGCGATAACCTTTGCCACAACCGTCATATACATGTACAGCCCTTTATTCGTTCCGCTGCTGGATGAGACAACACCTACGCCGTGTGGGTCATGGGGATTGTTCGTCATACTTCACCACGCTAGTCACTTTTTACGTATAGGCACATCCTCACCCAGCACACCACATCCAGTATACCCCTTGCTATGTCTGTTTCTGCACCGGTCACGTGCTACTCCAGACTACCAGCGACAACGTTAAATATTCATTGAGGAAGTAAACCCTGCATCCTCAACTCTCATTGGCTTGCGAAGAGCAAGTGGTTTTCTTCCTCTGCTGGATAAATGCATCCATCTCCAAAAGCCCTGCCAGGTTTTGACAATGTTTTGTTCATAATATAATTAATAGCTTCATGCCATAAGAATCATTGCATTTTCTTTGCATGGGCGCTCAATTCATGGTTCAAATTTTCCAAGTTTGAAAAAAAAGCAGATTACTCACTTGGAATGTACATAGCAACCATCTCCCCTCCTTCACTGCAAAAAAAAAATGTCTGGATCCTGCTAGTCGGGAGACTTGGTGAGGCTTTCCTGGCTAAGCAATCATAGCATCAGTAGGAATAATAAAACATTCTGAGAACTTTGCAGTGACAAAGAAAGCCGCCCGAAACGTCACCCCCCCAAGTGGACGTGTCCAGTGTCGAGCAATGCAGGCTTTGCACGCGTCGACGGGGTTAGAGGGCCAGTCGCAGCAATCTCCTTTCCCGGTTTGCGTCCTTCGCTTCGGCCGTCGGAGAACGCGGCTAAGTGGCGGTGCGTTCACGCAGCGCGTACGCACCGCCAACCCAGCCCACTGGGTTGGTGGTGCGTTCGCCTCCGCTGTGTCCATTGCAGCTGTTGGTGGTCGTCGTCATCAATGGCCACGATCAGACCACTGCTGGGTGAATGGTTCCGCAAAGCCGTCGCAGTCTCTCTCGGTCCCGCGATGTCACAGTGCACCCGGCATCTGCGTACGGGCTGGTCTCATCGCTTCATCTTCGCGGTGGATGTCCTCGTTTTTGTCGAGCGTGCTGCTTCCTTGCTGTCTATCGCCCGTTTTTAATTTAGCTGTCTTGTCTCCTCTTGTCCTGTCTGTCCGCGTGCCCCTTGCACTCTTGAACCGCAGCTGTGCCGCCAGGTAATGTCACCGAACACTTTGCCGCGTCCGTATTCCACCCACCGCCGCCACACGATTCCCATTCTCGCAAGCGATTGGCCGCGTCCCTCTCGTCCGCACGCGGGAGATGTCTCCCACCTCCTGTGGTGGACGGCGTTTCACTCTTGTTTTTGGGATTTCCCCCCCCACCGCTGGCCCAGGTGCCCCGTTGTTCCGCTAAGACAGGAGTGGGGCTTAGTTCCATACGGCCCACGAAGCCTGCCACTTTGAACTGGCAACCGGACAGCTATTTGTCCGTTACTGTGAGCATGTTAGCCGCATTAATTGGATGCTGGAGGGGAATTTTTTCAACCTAAAAAATCGTGTTTTCCAAGTTTAGCATGCTCGGTGAAGGCGAGCCCTATTTATCTTATGTATGATTTAATGTGTGGTTCACCAAATCCACCCAATGCCTGGATGCTCGCTTGAGCAGGATAACCACATTGGCTACGTGGCCCTTGGTAAGGAGGACGTGGCCTCCCACCCCTGTCTATGCTACGGGACTCACGGTGCGGCTGCCCGTGGCGGTCGTGCATGTTCGACAAAGAAAGCCGGCCCTGAAACAATGCCGTCGGCGTGCCCCCCCCCCCCCCCCCCCGCATTGGAAATGTGCATGCTCAAAGCAGCGAGGTTGTAAAGATGTGCCTGTATGTCCTCCTTTCCCCCCCACCCCACCACCACCGCCGCCGCCATCCTCCCCACCGCCATCCTCCCCACCGCCATCCTCCCCAACGCCATCCCGGAATGCGAGGTTATTATAATAATTGCGGCCCACTCCCCAGCTCATGTTATCCATCATGCGTTCGTTTATTTGCATGAAAGCCGGTGGCGGCTAATAGCATGTGTATGCATGCTTGCATGGAAACAAGGGCCGTTGTTACACTCATTACACCAACCACAGCAGCAGCAGCCTGTAATGGTACAAGCTGCACCTTGTTTGTTGACCGCTGAAATGGAGACGAATATGATTGTGTTTTGGCGTGTGTGTGTGTGTTTTTTATGGGGAGCGGTGGCGCATCGGCTAGCACGCTGGGCTATAAACCAGGCGATCCGAGTTGGATTCCCGCTCACAGAAAACACCAGTATCGATTATCTGAACCAGTTCTGGGCCTCCCTTAGGTCGGCTCAGCCTCTACGGACTACCTGGTGCGATGTGTATACATCGCCACTAGGGAGACAAAGGCGGCCCTTGTTTGTGTATGTATGCGATTAATGTGTTGTAAAATGTAATATCTCAATTGTTTCTCTTCTCAGCCTGTTAAAACAATCGCATTACATTCGGTTGTTGTTTATTATACCCCGTATGACGTGTACGCTTGCGTGCGTGTGTGTTGCTGTTTCGGAAGCTCTTTAATCAAAACATCCGGGTGGCCGTTATCGCTTCACGATTCCATTTACAAAGAGGCGGCCCCTCTCCTCGGCGGAGCGGGGTGTGGGGGAGCAGCTGGCTATGCTTGGGGGCCATGTCATGGGAGGGAGGCCCAACGCTGTGCTTCGGCGGGGATTTTGGGGGTTGCGGCGTTTCTGCGGTGGGTGGGTGGGTGGGTGCGTGCGTGCGGTTGTTGTAAGCATCGGCGTAGAAGCCGAATTTTTTTTTTTCACAATTTCTGAGCGGTTGCGGTCGTGAATAATGCATGACCCGACTCGTCTGTTCTCTCTTTCCCCGGCTCTCCTTCGTTGTTTTTTTTTTTACCACCTCCCCTCCCGTCTCCGTCGTCGCGACGAGTCTCGACATTTCGACGGGGCTCGAAGCGACGAAATCTCATTCCAGCGTGCGGTGTTTACGTTGGCTTCCCCTATTTTTTTTATGATTTGTGTCTCTCCCCATTATTTTGTACGCTTCTCGCCGGCACGCGTGATTAAATCGGCCGGCCGGCCGTAATGATTGCTCAATTTCTACCCCGACGGCACCAAACTCTTTCTCCGTGCATTACAGATCATTGTTTTTTATATCTCCAACTCTGCCCCCCGGTTTTCGCAAACTTTAACGGCTTACGCGCGCAAACCTCACGCGCACACACGCTCTCGTTCTCTATTGCTTCCATTCCCGGCAGGCTGTGGAGTGACGTATTGTAGTGTGTGTGCGTGTCTTTTTGTATCTCTAAACTGTGCGTTCACTGCGCGGTAACGACGACTGTAACGCAGATGTCCAAGGACGGAATCCGCCGTTGCGTTCCGCGCAAATGGAGACGGAGATTCCCTTCGTGTAGCCGTGACCAGGCCAGCCGGGGTACTGTTAGCGAGCACCCACGGTGCACAAGGGGATGATGTGGTCGGCGCCACGCATGGCCTCCTTTGTCTCCCCAGTGCCGAAGTTTGCGTACTGTACCAGGTACTCCTTTCAAGTGGAGCCAAACTAGGAGAGAAACAGAGGATGAGTTCTGATCACACTGATGTTAGCCGTAGCCGAGGATTTAACCCAGCTGCCTGGGTTCCACTCCAACAGAGCACACGCACACAGACGCACGGCCATACTCACTCACATCACAATGAAACAGTCATGCAGTACCTACCCACGTATCGACTTGTCTGCCTATCCACCTATCTACCAAGCTTTTTATCCACCGACGAACATATCCACCACACCTTCCTGCCTACCTATCGACTAGCCTATCAACTCGCCTACCAATCTATCTGCCTTCCTTCCCACCTATCTATCAACCTACCTATCCATCCACTTTCTTACCTGCCCACCTATCAACCCACCAACCTAGCTCTTCATCCACTCTCCTACCTGCCTTCCTATCAACCTACCTAACTACCAACATATCCACCTCTCAGCCTACCCAAGACGAGTGCTGCACTGCAGGCACCAATACACCGGTGTATTTTTCAACCCTAAAAGAGAAGCTGGCTCGGCCCACACCCCTGAGTGCCGGGCAATTGTCGGCCGCGTTGCGGTTGGACGGGCACCACCGCCACGCGCCGACCGGCCCCCGACCCCTTTCTCACCGCCATGCTGCTCGAAACAAAACTGGTTAGCGTGGCCTGCTATAGCGGTGGATTAAATGGTCCGGAAGCAATGCCCGCCTGCCCACCCGCCCGCCTGCCTGCCTGCCTGTCTCTGCCACCCTTAAAAAAGGGAACTGTAACCTCTGATAAGTGCATGCCTTTTCCCGCACCTCCGTTCAGCACGATTGGCTACGTACGGTGCGAAAGAAGTTCAACGTACGTACATGCGTACGTACGTCTCTTGACGGAACATCCTCTCGGAAATGTTCCACCCCTGTGTTATTCGGCCCGGGTTTAAAACGTTAAAAAAAAAATATATAGAGTTCTATATTATGTTGCAGTTTTCTCCCGATTATCAATCGGCGTGCTGTTGCCTTCGTGTCACGGGACGGAAAGAATCCTCTTGGAAATCTCGCAGTGAGCGGCGCGTGGCCCCCGGTGGGAGTCGGAGAGCGGCTGTGGGGAGGCATCTTTCACGGGCCTCCTCCCAAAATACCCTTCAGGGTGGCCTTTATATGTTCTTTACACAGTGGGAGGGCGAGAACACTTTTTTTCCCCCTAAGACAACTCTCCTATGAAATAATTCGTCGCATTACAGTTAATTACGTCATTTAATTTCTCAGGCCTATGATCTTTTGTCAGATTGGATATAACGGGTTGTTTTATTGGTGTGACCGGGCTGAAACTCGTCAACTCGCGATACCCTGAGAGCTCGCATTCGAACGCAGCGGCTCAGTGGTGCGAGCTCCGGTGCTCTTGACCTCTGGGTCGCCAGACCTCCTTCACGGGGCTTTCGTTTACTTCGCATCTCAAACGGGATCGTTTTAAAATGGCTTAGCGGCTGCTGCTGCTGCCCGATGTTGTTGCGTCTGAAGACGAGAATCGCCTGGATAATGCTCCCGTTCTCCCCAGAGCTCACAGAAGCAAAGCAGGGGTTGAGCCTGGATGGTGCTTGGATGAGCGACCGCCATGCGCAGATCGTTGTTGCCTTCGCGCGTCTACATTGCGGGCAGCAAGAGGTCAACGCAGCAAAATCAATTGTCGTATCCGTCCTCTGTTCCTGCCCCCACGTCCGCATTGCCCGCCTTCCCCAAGCCGCATTGGCCTGCCTGGTGAAGTATGATTCAACCCTCCCCCCCCCCCCCCCCATGATCCTCACTGCTAGTAGGGACCCCCCCATCTAGCAGCAAGGGACTGTGCATGTAACATGTATGGACATGCTGCTGCTGCTGCTGCTTGAAGCGGCAAATAACCCAGCCCCACGGAGCGCTGTCCTCTAAATAATCCATGCCGAAGGCGCGGCCCGTGGGTTGGAGGAGCTTGATGAATCTTTAATGACCGCCTTCTCCTGAGCTTTGGCACGTGAAGGGCGCCGCGGGTCGACCGTGGAAACCGGTGGAGAGCTCCGTCTCGGGGGGCGCAAAGCGCTGGGCGGCGAGAGAGATGGGCGCGGGCGGGGCCGTTGGCTTCATCGCGTCGCCCGGGTGTCGGTCGCCCGACGTGCTGCACGGCGTGCCACGTCTCTGCCGATCCGCTGCTGGATGAGAGATGAGGGCATTATCCCCACACCTTTGGCGGTCATGGCCGATGTTCGACCACGCGGTTGGGGTTGGCGAAGGCCGGGCGCGTAGTTGTGATGACGTAGAAATGCAAGTACAGTCTTGGATTTCGCTGTGCTAGCCACCGGGTAATCCCACAGCCTATAACACCCATTTTGTTAGGTATGATAGTCGCCCATCATTTCAGCTTCCAGGTCCAATCCCAGTCAGCATCCAGGTTTGGATGCATTCAGCGCGATCAAGTCATAAGCACACACGTGCAATAAATAAAAATAAAACATTTTAACAGGTGAAAATAATCCACCAATTCTTAGGCGTAACAAAATACATTTGGTAAGCAGACAAGTAACGTGGTTGACCGTGTTCAATTATAAAAGGGAATCATAATCCATCGGAGGAGACGCTTCCTGGGCCAATGTCTTTTTTTTTTCACCCGCAGCGTTCGTTTAAGGCAGGGAATACTTGCGCGGTTTTGAGGGAAGGTGCCAAAGTGTGCGTAGCCATGCACCACTGCAAATAGGCAGAATTACTCGCCTACCCGCCGATGAGTTAGTCCGCCTGTGGTGAGCAAGCCGTCCCCCGCCCCCCTGGCAGAGGTCACGTTTGCGCGTCTCCTATTAGCAGAAGGAGGCATGCACCCGCAGTGCCGTTTACAAAGTGAAAACGTAAATCCTTGAAGTTTACCTCCTAATGGGGCTGTGGCATACAAATGAACGTGGTTATGAAATGCAAAATCTATTTATCTTTTTAAATGACTGCAGCACTAGTGCTTAACTGTTAGCGGGTGGGACGCATCGCACGGAACGTGATGTGAAAGGGTTGATTTGGTTGTGTTTTTCCAGCGATAAGTGTGAGTGGGCAGGATTGCCCGTTGCCTTTTTGAGTCCAGGCCAACGGCACAGCGTGCTCATCCATTGGGTTGCACTCGTGCAATCTCGCACGTGCCCGTATTGGCCGGGATGGGTCACTCGATCAGAACGCCGATTTCACCGAGGTGGCCAGGTGGCTGCTAGGGTGGAGTCCAGAGCACTGAGATCCTGGGTTTGAATCAAGGAAAGCTGCCTGTGATTAAACCGGGCCTTCAAGTGCAGCGAGATGATGGTTTCAGCACAAATCGTAAAGAACAGCGTGAAAAAAAACAACCACCCCGATGAGGATTTAAACTCCATGATCCGACCACCTTAACCCCAGTGGGTTTTTTCCCCATTTATAAAGAAAAATCCCAGTGTAAAAAAAACGATTAGATCTCTCGCTAAGCGTCGCACCCGTTTGTGTTGGAGAATGGACCCCCGCAGAAGCTGATGTCGCAAAGTCGCGTGGTCCGCACAGTAGAAGGGCAGCATTTGATCACTCTGCCTCGAAGAGTGATGTTCGTCACATGACAGCTAAACAAATATTTCAATTCTCAAAGCTGGAACTTAACCAAATTATGTGCAGAGCCACATTTTCAAGTGATGTTTTTTGTGTGTGTGGATGTGCAGTCATCCATAATGAGGCTGAGGCCATAAACTCATCACACTTGAGAATGAAAATTTGTAATCACAGATGGCTGTCTGTAATCAAACCCAGGACATCAGTGGTGCCAGCTCGGCGCTCTTGACCTCTGAGCCATCCGGCCAACTCTCAAAATGTAGAAAAATTCGATTACGTTCCTCCCAATAATTTGATCACGTCGTTAATGAAATTGAATTGCTATCCCCCACTGTTCTTTGTGATCAGCTCCAATGAATGTAACTGTGGATGTCACATTATTGATCGATGTTAGATTGTACCGGCAGGGTGGTGTCGGGTCGGGTACACGGGGTACGGCAAGGGGCCCTGCTACGGTTGCATACGGGTGGGGTGGGCGGTTGCGTTTCTGGCTTGTGAGCAGCGGTAGTGTAGCGATTGGCGCACTGCTATGAACCCTGCGACCCGAGTTCGATTGCAGCTCATGGCCAACACCCAGTGACGATTATCTGAACCGTTGCTGGGCCTCCCCGAGGTCGACTTAGCCTCACATGAATATCTGGTAAGGTGTATAAATATCAGCACTGGGAAGACAAAGGCGGCTGGGCATGGTTGCTGGCCACCCGCCCCCTTGTGTGCCAGCCTTTCTTCGGTGCTCGCTAACAGCACTTACCCCACGAGTCTATGAAAGGCTATACAGGGGATCTTTGGCTTTATTCTTTTTCTGACTACAGATGTATGGGTGACACTTTGGTTATGGAATTATGGTGACCTAAGTTAAATCCCCGGCCACGGATAAGCAGTGGCACGTTATATCAGGATCTGTAATCGGCGCGCACCCCCTTTTGCAATACGCACTGACCAGCGTGGTGAAGTATGGTCAAACAATTCCCATAACTGTCATCACTTACTCTGGAGACATTGTTCAAATTCCTTTACAATGCTAAATAGTGAGACGGGATTCGTCAAAACTGGGGGAAGGCTCTTGTGTCCAGATGAGCCATAAACACTTGGACAGGCAGCTTGTCTTGATGTTTAAAGTCACCCGATCTTGAAGTGGCCAAGTTTCCTCGGAGGTCAGAGGTCTGCCGAGATCCTGGATTTCAATCCAGGCAGCAGCCCTTGGATTAAACCGAGTTCTCAATTTGTGGTGTGTTGATGGTCTCAGCCCGGTCACCAATGAGTCCACAGAAAGAAACAAATACTGTCGTATAAAATTTGGTCTTGCGTTTCAAAATATTGGCTTGAGAATTTAAAATATCCGCTTGGCTTGTCATGCGATGGACAATTCACGAGACAATTACTCTCTGTAGCAGGGCGGGTGGGGGAGTGCTGCCCTCTGCTGCGTGAAGCAGACACATCACTCGAAGGCATCCCAGAGGCTACTTTGTGATGATATCCACTTCCTTGCGTCGTATTCCACCACGGAGGGTTGCACAGCTGACTGATGGCGCAATTTAGATAAAATGCGGAAACAGAATTCAAAAAAATTAAAGGTCACGCGATCCCTCTGTGGTGTATCTCTGGGAGAGCCTCTGCTTTGCACCGTTTGTCATGTGGGCAGCAATCGATAGCTCTTGGCTGTCAGGAGTAAAACGCTGAAGCGTGTACGAGCCTTGCGTTAGCCGATATTTAAGTTAAAATGCCGTTGGTTTAAAGAGCAACTTTTTGGCAAGCACCTACTACTGGTTTCTTCGCAGTGCCGATGATGGTTGTGGCTTTGGTGGTGGTGGCAGTTGGTAATAGCTGCTCATTCAGAGGAGGAGTTGGAGATGCTGCTTGCTGAAACTGGAGCGTGCCACTAAGAGCTGGGGCCTTACCATCAGCCCCACCAAAACTAAGCACCTGCCTGGGTATTTTGTACCATCGGACACTCCACCCCCACAACTCCCAATCGGTGATGGGGCAGTTGTGGAGAGAGTGGAGAGTTTTCCATACCTGGGCAGTGTGCTCATGACCAGCTCCGGTTTAACAGCAGAGGTCTCACTCCGAATCAGTCGTGCGGCAATATCTTTTCATCGGTTGCGTAACGCTGTGTGGAAGCTACCTGTCTGTCGCTCCACACGAAGTTTTAGTCTTCTCGGCCACAGTCATTCCCTCCCTTCTCTATGCTTGCGAAACGTGGACCCCCCTAATGGAGCATCTTCGCCGGTTATAAACATTTAGGCTGGCCTGCCTACGATCCATCCTGGGTTTAATCAGTCTGGATTGTGTGAGGAGCTCACAAATCCTTGAAAGATCTGGGCAAAGTCCCCTCGGTGAGCTCCTCCGGCAGGCAAGGCTGCGTTGGCTGGTCATGTAGCCCGCATGCCCAGCCATCACATGCCTAAACAGCTTTTGTTCGGCCGGATCGAGGGGGCTAAACGGGCGCGGCACAGGCTAGAGAAGAGATGGAGTGATGTGGTACAGGAGGACGTGGAGCTGAGTGGACTTGCCGATGACTGGTACAGCGGTGTCAAGATCGGCCTCTGTGGAGGAGGCTCGTGAAGGACGCTACTGGGCAGTTGGAGGCAGTCGCCCTCCAACAACAACGGAGGGCGGAGGAGCGACGCTCACAACAACGAGCAGAGCGCCGGGTGGCTAAAGCACAGCAAGTTGGCACAGTAGGGGGCACAGGTGGTGCATCAGCCAGTCATCTCAGTCAGTCGACCCGTGGCACCTGGGTCTGCCCCGTGACCTCCTGCCAGCGGGCTTTCGACACTTCACGTGGCCTCAAGGTGCACATGGCCTGGCACAAGCGTCGTGGTGACGTCACCGCCACTTAGTGGCGAATTGCGGTTGTTGGTGGCAGTTGTGGGGAACGGTGGCATAGTGGTTGGGGCGCCACGGTGGTAAGATGTTAACTCCCTCGCCTGGTATACAGGAAGTCGTGAGTTCGATCCCGACCCTGATGCCTGTTGTATTTTTGGAGTTTGCACGTTTTCCTGGTGGTCGCGTGGATTTTTTTCCGGGTCCTCCGGTTTTTCCCTCCACATTTAGAATCGACATCACACGTTTAGAGTATTTGGCTGCTATAAAGTTCCACATGTTGAGTCACTTCGTTGGGCTATCATTTGTGACCAGGTCACTTGAGAAAAATAGCTATATAGCTTAGTAGGCCTTACCTGGTAAAATAAAAATGTTTTTTGGGGAGTTTAGTTTGTAAGTGTCTGAGTAGTCGGTGTGGATTGAACACTCCTGTGTGAATGTACAGCAGCAGCAGTGGGGCAATGACAATTACGACAACATGTGAATAGGCTTTACACTTTCTGGCAATAAAACAGGTGTTGAGATGTTCAAACACCAAATAGATACCTATTGCAAGGCATCAAGTCTTCATGAACCACACGTACTTGTGGCAAAATATGCAAACAAACTTGGTAAAAATATATGGTTTAGTTTTTGTTGGTAGCAGCGGCGGCGGCAAGCGTCGTCAGTAAACTTGAAGTGATTGGTGGCCGCGCGCCGATGCGCCGCAGGGCTGAAGCGCATGTCGATGGCGGGGCTCACGGAGCTGCTGGAGGAGATGGAGTCGGCGGCGCGCAGCTTCTCCGAGGAGCTGGTGACGCAGCTGGCGCGGCGCGACGAGCTCGACTTCGAGAAGGAGGTGAACAACAGCTTCATCTCGGCGCTCATCGACGTGCAGAACAAGCAGAAGGAGCACCGTGAGTCGCTCCGCCGCAAGAAGCGCCGCAGCATCGCCGGCGACAGCCGAGCGGAGCGCGCCGGCGCCCGCATGCCCAGCGCGGTGAGTGGTGGCGCCGTGACGGCGGTGGCCGTGGTGGTGGCGGTGTGGCGTTGGAGCGGCGGTGAGGGTGGTGTTGTGGCGATTGGTGCTTGTGTGGCGGTGGTGGTGGTGTGATGGTGTTGGTGACATTGGCAGTGGTGGTGGTTTATTCCCCGCACCTCCGGTTAGCACGGTTGGTTACGTACGATGTGAAAGAAGTTCAATATACATGCATGCATACGTGATGACGATGGTGGTCGCAGTGTGGTGGTGGGGTTGTGTTTGTGGTGGTGGGATGGCACGATGAGGTGGCGGATGGTTGGTTTTGGTGATGAGGTGGTGTGGTGGGGGTAGGGGGTGGAGCGGGCTGGTGGTGTTGGCGGTATGATGGGATGGCAGTAGGGTGATGAGGTGGGAGCATGGCGGGCTAATGGGGTGGCACGGTTACAATGTAGCAAGAGGGGTAGGATGCCAGAATAGCAGCAGCATGCCGTGGCAGTGTGACATGAGGGTGGGAAGTGGGAGTAAAGTGATAGCAGGGTGGCAGTTTGGAGGAGTAAAGGGGTGGCAAGGTGGTGAAGTGCCAAGAGGGTTGTGGGATGGTGTCAGTTGGGCATGCCAGCATGGCATGAAGATGTGAAGGGTCATGGGTTTTACAAGGTGGCAGGTCAGGTTGGGATGGTGGGTGGTGGGATGGCAGCGTGGCGGTGTGGTTGGTTAGGTAGCTGGGTGGCAGGATTTTAAGCTTGGCAGGGCAGTGAGGTGGTGGTGTAGCAAACTAGCGGGTTGCAGCAATGAAGTGTGGCAAAGTGGCAGCAAGAGGACATGGCAAAATAGCGGAGTGATGGGGTGGCAGGGATTGCAGCCTGGCAGTTCCGCTGACGCTCCCCTCGATGCCATCCAATCTCATTGGGAAGATTAGCTTGGGCTTTGATTAAATTACCAGATGAATTAGAATCCCGTGTAATGTTTGCCTTGGCTGTGAAATTGGCATGCATAAAGCAGTAGGGGAGCTCCTTTGAGAAATTAATTTAATGGTACACGTTCTGACAGCTAGACGAGATGGATTGTTCAAAGATTGATTTTTTTTCATCATCAAAATGACAAATTAACTTTGAATGAAAAATAAACAAACAAACCCGCAACTCTCTATACTCGGGGCTTAATTTTATTCTGGCGGAGAGGCCCTCATGCGGCACACTGCATCCAGTATACCTCTCGTGATGCCGAGACGACCACTGCTCATCGTGCTAGACGACACGGAGGACCGCGTGGAACCTCCTTGAGCGGTTGTGTCCAGCTGCTCCATGCCGAGTCTCCCACTGCGGCCCTCTCTCCAGGCCTACTGCAGTCTACCAGCGACCTGTAAAATAGGCAGCAAGATAATGATGGTGCCCTTTGTTCCGATGTCTTTTACCGAACCAATATTATTCGTAGTAATTTTTTGAAGGGTGGAAGTGGGGGTTAGATCATCGTGTAGGTTTCACGTCCATCGAACCTAAAACCCTCCCATACCTTTTTTCTGAAACGCCAATCAGATGGCGCATTTGTCTACGAGACGGCTTGATTGGCGTGGCTCTTATTCTTAGCTCTTTCGCTAAAGTCACGTTGAAGGGAAACAATACAATAAAATATATATAAAATATATATATAACAATAAAAATTCTCACGACGTTTCGACCATAACACAAACGGTCGTCATCAGGTGTGTCGGTTTGCATTAATTTATTCATTTTTAAACGGTGTATTTGTTTATTTATAAAAAAAAAACGTCAGCGCCACGCGCAGCGATTTGGCAGTTTATTTAGAAGGACGAGTCCATCTATGTTGGTGGGAGACGAAAAATTAATGTATGCTGTCTGAAAGCCACTGTAAGCGTGAACAATCAATTAAGACCTGAAATGGTTTATCAAATCTTTCCAGTGATTGCTAAGCCAGAATCCATCTTCTCGGTTGAAATTGTCTCTGTGCTTGTATATATATTATTATTTTATTGTTTCCCTTCAACGTGACTTTACCAAAAGAGCTAAGAACATGAATTACTGCAGTCACGAAAGCTTTAAATCAAAATTTGGCGTGCCTCTGTCGGGGTGTGGTGGAGGCTACAGCTCTCATTTACATACCTACATGATCTAACCTAAGGAAAATGTATTAATTCTGAATCAAATTAAGCCGTGGTTATACCTCATCCCACACACACACACAAGAGACGCTCTGTCTCTGGGTCTCCCGTGCCTGGGTCACATTGCTCTGTGTCGCTGCAGCGTTTCAGCATGGAGAACCTCTCCAACGTCATCCAGAACGGCATCAGGCAGACCTTCGGAAACGGAGGATGTGAGAAGCAGGTGACCGCCGCTCACCCACTCCCATTCATCCACCGCTCAACCCAGTTGCCATTCTCCCACCACTACACAACCAACACCACTCACCCAATGCCGCTCACCCACCAACGCTCACCCACCAACGCTCACCCACCAACGCTCACCCAAACACTGTTGACCCACCACCACACGTCCAACACCGCTCGCCCACTACCATCTAAAACAGTTCACTTAGTGACGTGTGTTTGTTTTGGCTCTCATATCGATTTGCTTCATTGCTGTACTTTAATTTCCTTGTTTTTGCTTTTGTCGTTTTGGAGACTCAAGTCACTCTTGCAAATGAGACCCTAATCCTGACCCTCTTTGAGTCTCTCACCTGGACAAACGAAATAAACTTGAATGCTGACGTTAGCCCCGTTTCGACAAAATCATCCCAACGGACGGGTGCGTGCCTGCGTGGGCAGGGAAGGGGCGGGGGGGGGGATGCTTGAGGACGGGGGGTCGTAGCCAGGGCGATGAGATACCCACACGTCGAATCTCAAAAAGCTTGCCTCCCACTCGCTCGTCTCAGACGGACGTCTTTGTAACGAGTGTCCACCTCGCATTACGTGGGTCAGTGCGCAGCTCCCAGAGTGACTCTTTGCTCACATTGAAAAAGGTTAATTCTGCCTTGGGGGGGGCAGTGGGGGGGGGGGGTAAGGGGGTCGACCATCAAAGTGTCCTCTCCTTCACCCGGCCGCCTTCCTCCTAGCAAGTGGCTCACGGCACGAGCTGCACACCACGTGCCTGCAGCAGCGAAATTTACAATTCTCCTGACGTCCGGATTAGCCGAGGTTTTGCCAACCTCCCGCCGCTAAAGAAGCTGCCACCACCGTTTCATTGCCGACCTCCCCCGGGGAATGGCGCGTGGCGCCAGTTCACATTTTTTTCTTACAAATGTTAACAATTTTGTACCGATTATGCTATCATTGTCATGACACGTGACAGTGAATCCATTTGGAACTCTCACACAGTTCCCACAGTCTTGGTCCAGAGAAACAGAGTGCTCTGCCGCCCATGGAGAGGGAACTCTTGTTTTAGAGACAAGTTAGAGTCGAGAGTCTGATGAACGAAGGCTGCGTGCAAGGTGCATAGCACGGAAAGCGGATTTCTCACGTGTGACATCTTAAGGGCGGAACCTAATTTAGTGACCGGGCTGAGACCACCAACTCATGAGCACACAGTTTGATCACGGGCGGTTGCCTGGATTCGAACCCGGCCTCTCCAGCGGTTGCCATCCTCTGAGCCACCGGGCCGCCTGCTCGGTGGCCTGGCCGTCAGCACTCCCGCGATGGTCACGAGGGCTTCTCTCTCTCTGTCTTGCACGTCCGTGTCGTCCCTCCAGTATCTGACGACGGTCATCCCTTACGAGAAGAAGATGGGTGCCCCGTCCGTGGAGGACCTGCAGATCCTCACCAAGAGTGAGTCCCTCTTTTGCCCATAATGGGTTTTCTGGACGTGAATGCAACGGGGAAAAATAATTAAATTATATATTATGTTCACGCTATTTGAATTCCAAATCGATCGGCGTGAATACGTCACGTTTTAACTGACCGAGAGAACGAGATGTCAGCCCAGCATCGTCAAATTCTGCAAAATGTTCAGAAATCGGGGTCGCTTGTAACGAATAATGCTACGGTGAACGCTTCTGCAAGCACACGCATCTCAGAACGCATTTCGTAAACTTTTTGGTGAGGTCAACAACCGCAGGGTTCGCCTCCTTTCCCGTGAAACTTGAGCTGTCCATATTGGGAGTTCATTGGTTATTTTTTTCCAGCCTCGGCCGATAATCCTGTAACGTCAAAAAACATCTTCCGTTGCAGTTTTAAACGCAATGAAGGATGACAGCGAGAAGGTCCCAACGCTACTGACAGACTACATCCTCAAAGGTGAGGCTCGCTTCTCGAGATGAGGTGACCGCGTACTACAGGTTGGGGTTGACGAGTCAGCGGCATTATCAGCCACGATCAATCCACTGCTGGAGGAAGGCCTGCCCAACTCGCCGTCATCCTTTTACGGTCCCACGGCGATGCAACGGTCCGCCCAGCACCTCCGCACGAGCCAACCTCGTCGCTCCATCTCCCTCGACCTCGTCGCTCCATCTCCCTCGACCTCGTCGCTCCATCTCCCTCGACCTCGTCGCTCCATCTCCCTCAACCTCGTCGCTCCATCTCCCTCGACCTCGTCGCTCCATCTCCCTCAACCTCGTCGCTCCATCTCCCTCGACCTCGTCGCTCCATCTCCCTCGACCTCGTCGCTCCATCTCCCTCAACCTCGTCGCTCCATCTCCCTCGACCTCGTCGCTCCATCTCCCTCGACCTCGTCGCTCCATCTCCCTCAACCTCGTCGCTCCTCCCTCGACCTCGTCGCTCCATCTCCCTCGACCTCGTCGCTCCATCTCCCTCGACCTCGTCGCTCCATCTCCCTCGACCTCGTCGCTCCATCTCCCTCGACCTCGTCGCTCCATCTCCCTCGACCTCGTCGCTCCATCTCCCTCGATCTTGTCGCTCCATCTCCCTCGACCTCGTCGCTCCATCTCCCTCGACCTCGTCGCTCCATCTCCCTCGACCTCGTCGCTCCATCTCCCTCGACCTCGTCGCTCCATCTCCCTCGACCTCGTCGCTCCATCTCCCTCGATGTTGTCGCTCCATCTCCCTCGACCTCGTCGCTCCATCTCCCTCGACCTCGTCGCTCCATCTCCCTCGACCTCGTCGCTCCATCTCCCTCGACCTCGTCGCTCCATCTCCCTCGACCTCGTCGCTCCATCTCCCTCGATCTTGTCGCTCCATCTCCCTCGACCTCGTCGCTCCATCTCCCTCGACCTCGTCGCTCCATCTCCCTCGATCTTGTCGCTCCATCTCCCTCCACCTCACCGCTCCATCTCTCTCGATCACGTCGCTCCATCTCCCTCGGTTTCTCTGCATCTGTGCCGCCTCTGTCCGCTGTGTCTGCAGAGGCTCTCATATTGTTTGAACTAAAACTAAACTTTTTAGTTTACCAGGTAAGGCCCCACTGAGCCATATAGTTCTTTGTCAGAAGCGACCTGGCCACAAATGATGACCCAACGGTGTGGCTTATCGCGTGAAAATGTATCGCAGCCAAATACTCTAGACGCGTGTTTCTTAATGTGGAGCGAAAAATCGGAGGACCCGGAGAAAAATCCACACAACCACGGGGAGGGACAGACATGCAAACTCCAAATATAAAGACTTGAAGGTCGCGATTGAACCCACGACCTCCTGTATACCAGGCGAGGTAGGCAACATCTCGCCACCGCGGCAGTCCTTTAACGTTAGCTGTGGCTAAAACTCTTGTCTGCAGCTCGCTCCAAGATACGGAAAAAAAAAACGGTGAGGCTCAGGGGGTAGTAGGCCGGGGAAGACGGCACACAGTGCCCGTCCCGACACGCTCTCTGCGTCACGTCCCGTGGGCCGAACGCGAACTGCTAATCGTTCGGGTTAACGAAGTGACTGGCGGACTGCAGCATGGACCAGAGAAACACGTTATTAACCACGGTACAAAATATCGCTTTTTTTTTTGCATCGCAAATCGTAGCTATGGAGGTGCTATTTTCACAGCCAAGCTTTTTTTTTCTTGGAAATGTCACACCCATGTCCCGTCTCCCTTTGAACTAAAACGCGTGTCTTCATATTATTATGTTTCCGCTGTGTTCATCTCTGATTTTCCATTTGTTGGCGTGTGGTGTGTGTCTGTGCATGCTGTGCGTGTGGTGTGTGTGTGTGCATGTGATGCGTGTGGGTGCGTGCGGCGCGTGCGGTGTGTTTTTGCGACATAGCTCTCGTATGAAGGGACTTTTTATTTTTTATTCCAAGGTTTGTTCTCAGCTTCGCCGCTTAGCCTCCCCCACCGTGTCGTGAAATTTGTGTGCCCTGTGACTCGTTGGGTATGGTTCGCCTGGGCTTTGCCGCCGCAGTGGTGGCGGTGCTGTGGACGCGACGCACACTTTACCTCGCTTCCCTGCTTTAGCATTGGTCCCGCCCCCTCTGGTTGTTGCATAAGCAAATGTCTCACTCTTCTGATCACCTGGAGTAGACGGTGGTGGTGGTGGAGCGATTGCTGCTATGGTGTGGCAACTATTGTCGCACCAACCAGCAAACCTTCCGCCACCATGCCATATTGACTCGCTACCGCATCTGGGGTGATGCATGACCGTGCAAGTGTATTTTGTTTAAATGTCCCCCCCTCCCCCCCCCGGCAGCCTTGAGTGAAGGCTGCCTTCGCTTCAGCACTGTATCTGCCTTGTGGACTGCGAGCAACACGACCTGCGAACCCCACTCTGCGTAGCCTTACCTAGCCTCATCCTTGTAGTGAATCCTATCCGACCCTACTTGACTCGACCCGAACCTTACGTGACCCTACGCGACCCTTATTGGCTCTACCCGAACCTTCCCACCTGCCGCCTACCCGTCTACCCACTGAGTCCCGCCCTCTCGGAGTAAAGCAGCCAATCGGCGGTGGCTTGCCGGTAACAGAGCTCAATCCGCAGCCATGTGATTGGTTGTTTGCCTTCTGCTGGCTGGGTAGGGGGAGGAGTGGAGGTGAAGCCACGTTTTTGCTAGCCGCACTGCATCATTGTAATGGGCTTATCGTGCTGTTTAGACTTTAGCCGGTGTTTGGTCGTGTACTTTGCCAAGCAAACATCGTCTTTGAACGCTATTTACGCTTGAGATGTCAGTATGATTCAAGCTTAGATTATGCACATGAGTGAATTTTAATTTCCAGCATTTGTCACAGCTGCAATGACGTTTGTCAACTTGTCAAGTTATCCTAATGAAACCATGAATACATACATTCCTAATTATCTTAATTGACTTGCATTGTTGTACAAGCAGAACCATCTGGAGGCCCTTGTCTTCATCTGATGTGTTATTTTCATATTCACACGTGTAAAGCAACCACAGGATGTCCCAGTTTGACCGGGTCTGGACAGTTGCAGTGGCTTAAGAAAGGCTGCTCTGGTGCCCCAAAGCATTTGCGAAAATCAGGATATTGTCCCATTTTTATACGTCCTGTCCTCGCTCTCGACCAACGACATGGGCACAGGGCAGGGCTGCCCGAGTAGTGGGCGGGGCTCCCTGGGTAGTGGGCAGGGCCTCTGAACAGGCGAGGCCAATTTCGGCCAAGAGGGAAGCCACTCGCTGGGTGGGGATAGTGGGTTGAGTGGGCGGGGCTATGTGAAAGTAGGCGGGGCAGAGGGGTGTGGCTGCCAGCTCGCCACGTTGTCCCCCCGTTGAGCCTCCCAGAAATGTGCTCGCACACGCGCCGCACGCACTCGTCGCTTTAATTTTGCTCCGCTTCCCTCTTCCTTTCCACAGTGCTTTGTCCGACTTAAAAGCGAACAAGGGACTTGGGGGTTGGGGGTGGGAGGGAGCGAGAGGAAGAGGAGGAAGAGGAGGACGAGGCGGGCGATGGGGAACAAACGCTGGACCGCAGCGCAGCGGGGGGAGGAGGCGCGCGACGGGAACCTCGTGAGGCGACGCTCGCCGATCGGACGGTGTGCCATAGCCCCCCCCCGTTTAGGTGTCCACTATTCGTGAGTGGTAGCGAGTAAAGCGTGCGTAGTCTAGCGTTTGTGGGTCAATGTGCAATGGCGTGGCATGTGTATATCGTTTGAACCGGAGCTTTTAACGTTCCATCACCACTACAGTCTTTCTCTCCCACCCCACGCCACCCCACCGAGCGAGCGAGCAGCTGTCTCTGTACGTACGTCTTCGGGGTGTGAGCCGGTCTTGAGGAGCAAAGCAGCCCAACTGTAACGCTTTAGCGACCAGCGCACGAGAGGCCGCTGCTTCTGCCGAAAATGCCGGACCTGCCGTCGATCATGGGCAGCGGGAAACAAAACGAAAAAAGCAACGTGCTGAATTTTCCCGAAAATCAAGTATGTGGCGTTTGCGCACTGACCAAAACATATTTTCTAAAGCGGTAATAACGAGCAGTTGCATTCATAGCAAACCAGGGGTGTTCGCTGTTAACTCCTCTTTTTCCACTGGCATTACCTCGCCGAGCCGGCGCGAGGAGGTCCTCTCGTTACGGGTGGTTTTCAACTGGCTGTCTGCCGTGCCGAGCCGAACTGGAGCCAAACCGTGCTACGCTGGCCTCGCGAGACACCTGAATCTGGCTCGGGGCCCAAGCGCGGCCAGGAGTTCTTAGTTAATGACGCAGTCCTTTCGTGCGCCATCACTTGATGCCACTGCATCAAGTGACGGGGCACGACGTCGTTTGCGACGTCGGCGGCACGGTTTGGGTTGAGCAGTGGAAAAATAACGTGGCCCCTCCCCAGTTGGCTCTACTAAACTATGAACTATTTTTATTTTACCAGGTAAGGCCCACTGAACCATATAGCTCTTTCAGAAGCGACATGGCCACAAATGATAGCTCAACGAAGTGGCTTATCACGTGAAAATTTATAGCAGCCAACGCACGTTGATTCTAAATGTGGAAGGAAGAACCGGAGGACCCGGAGAAAAATCCACGCAACCACGGGGAGAGAGAGACATGCAAACGCCCAATATACAAGCGTCAGGGTAGGAACCCACGACCTCCTACATACCAGGCGAGGCAGTTAACATCTTGCCACAGTCGCTCGGCATGGCTTGGCTGGGTCCTGGCATGGCTCGGTTGTCCAGTGGAAGAGAGGTACAAGGTAATGGGGGTGGGGGCCCTCTTACGTTGGGTTTGCTCGACGAATGCTAAAATCGAATCTGAAAAAATCTGATCTCGAGAATGTGCTTCTGTTGCTGCCGTTTTACTCCTCACGCGCGGTGGCTGGTTTAAGATGCTTAGCTCATTAAGAAAATTTACACTCGAAGCAAATAACAGCACATTGTTATGCACTGAAATATATATTTTCTTTGTTTTTCCAAGAGGAAATTAATAGCGAACTATTTAAAGTGTACATAAATTAATGAACGTAATAACTGCATACGCAACTTCTGAGATCCTGATAGACTTGTAGCTTTTTTGGTTTGTGATAATGCAGTATTTATTCCATGTAGCGTATTAACTTGTATGGTTTACCTATGTTTTCATAATGGTAAACAAAAATTCATCACTAAATAACATTCGAGATGCTTACATTTTGATTAACGGTGCTGTAAGCAGCTTCCACGTACAAATTGGTATGGGGCAAAACGTAAACACTTTTGGGCCAAATAATTTAATGGGATTTCACATTTACGCCCCCACTAGCATGATGTGTCGAGCCTCTTCCATCGTCAATTCTCCATTCAAGTCACATTGATGTATCCTTCAAACACCCCCCCCACTCCCCTGCACAAACATGGAACGTTCCAGGTTGTAAGGAGTCCCAATGGCACCTCGGGGTTGTGCCATTGTTCTATAGGTGGTGGCGGAGGGGGTTGGTTATGCCGTACATCGGGACCATTGATTTCACATCGTGGAAAGGTGGAGCATTCCCTATCTTGATGCCAGCATCAGGATAAATCTTCGTCGCGATTTGCGAATGCGAGTACAATTACCAGCAAGCCGGTTTGGCCTGTAAAGCTCTCGTCTGCGCGCGTACGCCTCCCTCTTTGTCAATCCACTGCTAGATAAAAGCCTCCTCGCGTCGTGCGGGTCATGAGGTTCAAGTGACCATACCTCACCGCGCTCGCAGTGCACCTGCTTATCGTCGGATCCCGTAAGCGAAAGCGGGAATTGATACCTGCGTAGCTTGTACTTGGATGGGCGACCACCGTGCGTCAAACCGGCGCTATAAGCCGCGGGGGACACAATGCAGGTCGCGAAGGGCAGTTGAGCAGAATGAATTGTTGTACTGTACCTCTGTGCCCCCACGTCTGAGCACATCGCCTTCACCAACCCACACTGACGAGCGCGGGGAAGCGTGGTCAAACAAACCCCAACGCAACCCGCCGGAGCGTGGGGAGACCCTCGTCCAGCAGTGGATTGACAACGGGCGATTGACGTGTACAGATGCACGACAATTGGCTTCAACCTCGAGCGTGGCCTTTGGAGGATGCCGCTGTGGGGCTCTTGAACATTTTCGCCCGCCCATTTTACCGTGATCGAATACGAGCCCTTGGCTGCATGGTTATCAGTGAGTGGTCCATGGTGATGGTGTTCCTCGTAGTGAGTCGGTGCGATGACCGGGATGCCTCAGAGGGCAAGGCTGGAGGCTCCTGAGGGACAGAAGCCTCCAGCCTTGCACTCGCACCTCATCAGTCACTGTCGATTCCGAGTGACGTTTCCACGCGTGCACGCACAGCCCTGTTGTTGTCAATCAGACTGCTGGATCGGTGACCACAGCGCCACACCGCGGGAGCACAGAAGTGCAGTGCGATAACGGATTTTCCTGCACCCCCCCCCTCTGCTGGGCCCACCTTGCACCCTGTGACCAATCGCCCGATCTCGTCAGGTTGAGCCTGCATCGTCGTCGGATCGGTGAGCACCATGCATAACAGGTGTTACAGGTTGCTCCGGGGGGGGGGGAGGCGGAGTGAATCTTATCGCGTCGGAATTGATGAGAAACAATCAAACCAAGTTAACGCTTGGAAGGGAAAAATACAAAATACAACCGCGGTACAGCGTTTCAAAACGGCTGTGAATTCGTTGCAACCGAATTCTCAGCCAAAAATGTGTTGTGCGAGTAATGTCGTGAAATCGATCGTTCGGAGGATGCACCGGAATTCCCATGTCGATCGTTGGCTGTAGAATCTTGAATGGAATTTTCAAATCAAGACGTTAATTTCACTCGCAGTAAACATGCGGAGTTTTCGACTCCGTACTATTTTATAAAGCAGCAGCGGTAACACGGTGTAGTCGCGGTTTCCTTATGGAGATTCGAGATGGAAATTCGATGACAAAGCACTGCCTATTGCAGTCTACATTGCCTGCGAAGGCCCCATCAATATGACTACGACTCATACAATTGAACTCTCGGTATAGCGAATGCATATCATGAGTTCCAACATTTCAGATGTATTTTTTTTCAGTTTGTAGCTATGATACTTGTACAGCAAGGCTCTTTGTATATATATCTCTCCTTTGTAATGGTTTACTCCTAATCACAGGCATGCGGATAATCTTACGACGACCCATACGTTCATCGTTACTACAAAACCCCACTACGAACAAATACTCCAGCTTGTTGTTGAGCTTCCGTTGAGTCGCCAAGAAACATTTGCGTTCCTTTGATACACAATCGTTTCCCCCCCCCCCTCCATGTTACAATAACTTAAGTAGTGAGAGTTTGCGTGCGACGATTCGCCTCCAGTGATTTCTCACTGGCCATGTACCCATTTCATGTTCTGATAGAAGCCTCTCAACTGCTGGATGCAAATCTCAGTTTCCCCACGGATTAATGTCGATGCATGTCTTAGGTGTGTACATGTGATGATGATGATGCTGATGCAGACTCCGCGGTGATGGATAAAGGAAACAACTTCTAAACAAACAAAATGTTCGCGACTCTTTATTTGCCTTGTCCTCTGCCGGCCTTCCGCTGCGTGCCTGTGGATTGCGCTGTGTTGCAATTTGAGATGGTCGTCACGGTTTTGCAGCTGATGTTGCAGAAATGAATGTTTAAAAATAACTTTTGACGAGATGTTAACTACCTCACCTGGTATGCAGGAGGTCGTGGGTTCGATCCCGACCCTGATGCCTGTATATTTAGAGTTTGCGCGTGTCTCGCTCTTTCTATTCTGTTTCTGGGTTAGATCGCATAAATATGAATGTGTCGTTAAGTCAGGCATGCTGCGGCATGGGATAGTTCTGGACGGGAAGTGCTTTTTGATTTCTTTCGGCCACGGGAGAGCAACTTTTTATATCGGCGACTGTCAAACTTACAAATCAGACGCAGGCCCCAGCTGTCCCTGGCGAAACCTCGCCCGGCCACCCTTGTCCCCCGTCCCCCAGACTTCCGTGCCGAGTGCAAGCCGAAGGGGAGGTGCCGATGTCTCCGCCGCCAAAGACGCCGTCGCCTGCGCCGTTACCTTCACGGCCATGAATCTTTGTTCTCGAACGAGCCAGGGGCTTTCGCTCGCCGCGGGATGAGGCCTGGATGGGGGAAGCGCACCTGTGGGTATCTCGCGACGCGATGCCGAGAGAGCCCCGACTGGAATGAGATGCGTGTGTGGAACTTGCGGAAGAAGGGTGCAAAACTGGGCCAATTGGTGATTTGGGTTTGTTCAGAGCATCGCTCTGCCTACGCTACGCAAATCTGTTGTGGTGATTGGGAATTGTTGTGTTCGTCATTTTATTATAACTTGGCAAATGCCAATGACAGCTGTGCTGATTATAGATGTCTTCAGTCTGCACACACTTGCTTTGAATTGTAGCAAAAGTTGAGCGTTAAAAGAGTTAGTTAAAACTCTTGAAGTCTTTCGTGGGTAAATTCTTGTCAGGTTGACACATAGCGTACTAAGAATGGCACACTTATCAACGCGAAAGTAATTCAAATAAAACGTGTTCAACCATCTGTCAATCCACCGTAATGTATAATTATAGACGGGGGCCATTCAGAGCAGGGAGAAAGAGAACAATCATTGTCTCTTATCACGGCCTAACGTACCAGGCCAGAATCCTCCTGCAAAGCTGTCTTGAGACTCGGTAGGGCTATCCTGTTGAAATAAACAATCATAACCTGTGAACTGGGATAACCAGGCAAGTCAAGAAGGGCTGATTCGGCAAGACTCGCTGGGTTTCTTTAAATAAAAAAAATCTTTAACAATTTCCCCAAGTTGTATAGCTCAACTGTGCTATCGGCATCGTGTCACCATAGGACCCTGTATTATTTGAGATCAGCCCGTGGAAGTGAATATCACAGAACTACAGCTGAGATCTCTTTGACCTGTTCCAACAGTAGGGAAACAGCCCTTTATCATTCGCCCTGCCACCGAGAGTAATGTTTGTCGTGTGACATTAAGCACCATATTTTTTCATTCTTAGAGCTGGAATTTATCCAAAATAAATGTAGAATCAAATTGCCTGAGTTCAATTGCTTGTTTTTAAGGCAGTATTATTGACGAATGTGGAGTTTTGTTTTAATTGGTGCTAGTGCACCCAATGCCAACGCAGTAAACAGCATCACCAATGAATTTGTTCAACTTTAATGCGATCGGCGTTTTTTGTTTTGTTTGGTGGCCGGGCTGAGGCCATCATCGCCCCTCCACTTGGAGATTCCGGTTTAATGACTGGTGGCGAGAACCCTGACGGGTCCTCGGCAACTTGGCGGTACCAACTCGACACTCGTACATACCTGGGCCACCCAGCCGCTCAACAGCGTGCCAAGGTGTTTTGTGTCTCTCCCTTAACAAATGGGAAACTCGCGCTGTGTGTTCAGCTGGTTGGCTGCTCGCTACGAGAGCGGAACGGGCACGGCTCATCCGCAGCTACCGTGGGAAAGACCACAGGTGGGGCGCGGATCGAGAGTCAAAGTCCCGAGGCTAGCGCCCCAGAGA